ATATTGGAGATGAACTGTTGCAAAGTCACAGCAGTCGATTTCTTCTTCGTCTTGTCTCCCACCATAGCCATTACTGCTTCGCTTCTGTTGCTGCTGTTTAGTTCAGAGAAGAGAATTTCCCCTTTTTAAGAGGTTTACTAAAATGCGTAAAATATTACTCTAGTCCTCAACTTTTGACCTTGGGTTGTAAAGTTTCCTCAAATTTTAAAACCAATCCACCTTTACCATGACAAGTTTTTGATTACTCCACAGCATTTTGTTTGGTTTGAAAGACGAAAGAGGAGGGGAAGAAATATAATTATAATCAATCAAATTATTTTGATTAGTCTAATAACGTAATTCCATTAATTGAAAGAAAATCACGTCTCTTCTCTTTTCCTCGCATTCTTTCTTTTAGACAAAACAGATTATTAGTGATGTTTCAATAATCAACTTTTATAATTTAATCAAACATACTTCAATTACAATACTTATTGCTTGTGACGCTCAAAAGTTAACCTAAATCTATAACTTCTGATACACTAAAATCTAAACAACTTACAATTGCTGTTGTATATCAACATTCCAATGTCCAATGCAATTACCAAAATAAGTATCGATTTTTATCAATAAAAAATAACTTCATTTCAAGAGAGTATAAAGTGATACTTCAATCCTTACAACACATTGCTTGTAAAAACTCATCAAGCCACTACAAGAGACATCATCACCTAAGTTCAAAAATAATAAAACAAGGATGATCGGAATGTCCGGCACCATATTTTTCTGATGACTTTCTAGATAAATAACAACAAACAAAAATTAATCTTTATAAGAAAAACCTACTACCATTTTCCTCAGCTCCTATATATAGATGTAGCAGATTAGGCAATAAACTGAAATGCCCTGAGTTGGGGACAAAGAATCTTATTCCATCATTTTCTTTACGTATTCATTACAATATTCAAAGCTACTTAGATACAGGTCATGCTCCTCAAAGTACCCAACAAAATGCTTTAAGAATCTGTCACTTCTTATTGTTTCGGTATCACACACAAGGCAACACTGCCTGTCTTCTCACTTGAGTCACAGCCACATTCATTCGCCTGCAGTCACTTGAAAACCCCACCTAAACATATTTAAAATGCCACAATTTTATTTTCAATATAGAATCCACCAAAGGGAAAAATAGTTAGAACTTAGAATTATAGCTTAGAGTACCTCTTTGGTAGAGTTTGGTCAAACCAGGGAAATCATAGTGGCTTCCTTGTCTCGACCTTGGACACCCATCAACTGTTGAGATCTTTACATCCTTCTAGCCGGTCCTCATTGCTTTTAAACATCTTTACTTAGACAACTTGAAATATATTTGGAATTTTAAAAAACAAACCATCATATATTGGTCATATTGCAAAAGAAATGGGAGTAGAAGAAGCAAATATCTAGCTAGTATTTTGGTCCTCACTTTATTAAGCAAGTTACAAAGTATATAAACTAGACAATTAACTAGAGCACAGTTCACTGTTTGATACCTGGATAGCATATAGGGTAATGTAATAATTACAATGTACTCCATTTGAAGTCTAGTCTCTTTGTATGTGAAAAATCAATCTCAGCTTTACCTTCGTTTAGTGTATTGTCTTCATCTTTCTTTTAATCCAAGTCATATCTGAAGTAGATCAATCATGTATCTTTCACAAATTTAAGGGCTTAAATCAGTAAGTCCTAATAAAATTTGATTACAGAATCAATGTCAAGTCAAGAAGTATAGTTCTTATTCTTTTGAATTACTCTAGTTTTATTTATTACATTGATGCTTGTTAAGAATCAAAGTTTAACTTTAAGATTCACAAGATCCAGAGTCTAAACTTTTATATAAAACAAAACAATCTCACTTAAACACATTAATAGAAGGGAATTATTGTCTACCTCACATTATAATTAAAGCCAATATGCTAACAGTACACAAAGAAAAGTATAACTATTGCACCAAAAACCAACAAAAATGTTAGAGCTCCAAACCATTTATTTGAGTCCTCACCTTGTGAGTAGGAACAACATCTTTTTATGTGGATGAAACTCAAGAAGTGTTTTCCCCATTGGTCCTATCTACTTTGAAACCAAACTCAAAATAAATTATAAGATAGTTGAAGATTCATTCCATTTTGGTAGCAAACAGAAAAATGGAAAACAGCTTTCGAAACTAACACTTGCAATCATTAAGATAATTTCCTATTGTTCAACTTGTCTTAAAAAATGAGGGCTAACCCATGCATTGAGTGCACTGTCCAAAACTAGATGTAGCAAACGTGCAAGATAACCATTGTTGCATTGGGAAAGATATCATTATGCACCTCAGGCTGAGAGTGATCAAGGATGGAGTAGAAAGGGGTGAATGTAACATCTTTCTTTGACAATGTTGGAGGTCTATCACCAAACAAGACAGGAACTAGAACTGTAATAGGTTCCTTTAGTACACCTTTACTCATCTATATCAATGCATCCTTAATCCTATAGTACATCACCAGCATAGACAAATCAATCAGGATTATTTTCCTTATAAGCTGGCAGTGAATTTGATTAAAGAATCAAATCTTGGCCACTTAGGTAAGAAAGTGCGGCACTAAGCCTCCTATTCTAGTTAAATGACTATGATCTCATTTAGGCTTGTACAACTTGTATGTGATTCCTAAGGTCTACACTAGGAACCTTTTAGAGAGTAAAGAACTGAAAAGCCATTCTCGGCTCCTAGTGTTCTTGTATTGTTGAACAAGAAGCAATCACACAACAGAAGGGAATAAGAAGAAGAGAATCAATGAATTCATGAGTTGATTGTTGTGGGTTGGAATTCCTGCTTTCTCTCCAACTAATTCATCAAAGATTAGATTGAAAACACATATTTATGTATGGACATGGTACAACCAAGATACATAACAATGCAACAAAATACATAAGAACACAGATGATGTTCTAAATCAGTTTTTCACACAATTAGTTTACAGAGAGAGTATGAAAACACAAGAATCACATTAAAACAATCCACACAATGGTAGTAGAAGGGATATCTTTTGAAGCCCGGAAGGAAAAGCAACAACAGACTGGTTGAATGCACCGGCTTCCTGATCCACTGAAAAAACAGAGTGAAATTCATTACTAGAAAATCATGGTGAAGGGAAATTACGCACTACTAATACATTTTTTTTTTAGCGAATTTATATATATGCATTTTCATTCATAAAAAATTCCCCAATTTGTTTGAAATGAATGGTAGAACAAAGATTTGCAGAGAGAAACACCTAAATTAAAATAGCAAATTGATCCTCACCTTTCAATCTTCTGGACCGATTCCGACTGTTCCTACTCCGATTGTGGAATGCTGGGTTCAAAAAAAAAATGAACCATGGGTTGAAGGAGATCCTTTGCGTTGGGATGGTCCCACTCCAACGATTCCCACCATACTAGTTCACTTCGCTTTATCACGATTTCTTTGAGGGAAGGAGGAGGAGATGGTTGGGCGTTATCAACCAGGGGAAGAGAAAGAGGCATCCTCCTTAGGCCCTTGCAATCACAAATGCTAATCACTTCAAGAGAATCGCATACCATTACTGCCCTCCTGCTACAGATGCTATTCAATGCTGGCAATTCTTGTAAACTCAGATATTTTAATTTTGGAAGAATGAGCTTCTTGATGGTGTCCCCTCCTTCTCCTTCTTCTTCTGGATCCGATGCTATCATTTCTTCCATTTCTTCACAACGCCAGACACTAATCCTTTCTAGATTTTGGAGATATTCCACCGACTTCCAAGATGAAAACAACTTCCTTATTTTTTTGCATTCCTGAATCCGAACGTCCTGGAGAGATGAAAAAGCCCTAGGTGGAGGTGATGACGTCGCCATGACGTTTGCTTCAAACAACCCATCCAATTTGTGCAAATTGGACATATCCAGACACTCAAGGTTTTGAACGACTGGGTTGTTAATCCACGAGGAAAGAATGCACTCCATGCCATCACAATTCGAAATCGAACATCTCCTCAATTCTGTTGCATCTTTGATTACAGAAGTATCATTTAAGCTTCTTATGTCGTGGCAAGCGTCAATACATAATTCTTGTACGGAGGAAAATAACATATTCTCTCCAACAATACTAGTCTCCTTGAGCACCATCATTTTCTTATATCTTGGTGACCTTTTTATAAGATGGTAAGGCAAATTCAAATTGCTTCCAACAATAATAAAATAGTCACTCAGCCTATTAGGCTCACATTTGAGAAAAATTCTCATTTCATTCGCAGTGGGGAACCAGCCATGAAAAACTTCCAACTTCTTCAATCTCCCAACCACGTCCCCCTTCAATTTTATTCTGCTCCCATCTACAATTAACTCCTGAAGTTTGGAGAGATTTGATAATACTCCATCTGCTATTTCATCTATTTCAAGAATATTGCCATACTTTGATCCACAAAGAAAAAGACATTTCAAATTCTTCAACATTCCCAGGCCTTCAGGGACTTCTTTGATTTTTGTCCCCCCAAGGTTTAACTTTTTCAAGGATCCAAGGCCTGATAAAGATGGTACCTTTTCTAGGGATGTTGATTCTAGCAACAATGTAGTAAGCTTCACCAATTTGGAGACAGAATTTGGCAAGCTACTTAGCCTCCAATTGAAGGACAGATCAAGAATTTTTAGCTCAGGCATGTGCTCAAAGACAGATTCTGGAATTGTTGACAATGAGTTATGGGCCAGTAGCAAGGTTGTGAGCCTTGTTGAAAATGCCAAGCTTGATGGAATTTCTTCAATATAATTATGCATTAATGAAACCTTTTCAACTCCTTCTACACATTTTACTTTCTCTGGTAGCTCTTTCAATGCCTTGCCAGCTTCTATCAAGAATTGAGGACTCATTCTTATAATGTCCAAGGCCATGTCCCTGATCAGGTCATGCATCCTCACACAAGCTCCTGTAAAATCATCTTTAATCAATTCCAACAAGCTATTGTCTTCAAGCTTCTGCAAAATACCATAACCCTCATCCTTCATTGATTGCCGATGTTCCATTTCATCTATAAACCCCTCATCAATCCAGTTTTCAATTATTTTCTCCTCTGGAATCTTGTAATCCTCAGGATACAGTGCACAGTATAAGAAACAATATTGGATCTGTTGGTTTTTCAAACGATCATAACTGAACTTTAATATCTGAAATGCATCAGCATCATCTGTACCTGCTACATTTCTTTTGCATTCTCTCAATTGATTCAGTGCAACACTCCACAACCGTGACTCAGATATCTCTTTTAAGCTGCCAGCAACTGTAATAAGTGCCAACGGAAGACCATCACATTCATCCACAATGTCCTTCAAAGTTGACTCTAAATCCTCTTTAATGCCTCCTCCTGAACATGATAAAACAGTATCTCCAACTTTATTTAAAAACAATTTTAAAGCTTTCTCTTTTGGAAGAGTCTCCACTTGGATTCTTCTACAACCCATTGAACGAGCAACCTCTTGTGACCGTGTAGTCAATACTAACTTGCAGCCATTAGTTTCATTTGGCTTAGGAATTCCAACATCTTCAAGTTTGAAACTGCTCCACACATCATCAAGAATCAGCAAGTAAGGCCTCTGTTTTTCTAGCATCATTGACAACATGGATGCACGATTAGTTGTATTTTGATCCTCTTCCAACTTTTCCTTCAAGGTACATGCAATTTGTTTTTGCAGGTTGTTGATATCAAAGTTTTGTGACACATCTACCCAAATTAGTTTCTTCAATTTACCTTCTTTTAACAGTTCATTATAGACATGCTTCATTATTGTTGTTTTCCCGACACCCCCCATCCCCCAAACTCCAATCATTGTCACCTTTTCTCCCTTCAAGCATTCCAAAATATTTGCTTTAACAGCCTCACTGCCTTGTAACTCTGATGTTGTTAATTCAACTACCGAGGCTGACGGATCATCAATGACCAAACAGTCTGGCAATTGACTTCCTTCTTCACACATTCTCTCCATTTCTTGAATCTTTTCTCTAAGAAGCATTACTAGAGAATCAGAAGAATGTTGGGGACTCCCTCCCATTTTATCTTCAATATCTTTGACTCCATTCAACATCTCTTCCACTTTCCCCAGCCAACGTTTGACTTGCTCCATTTCAATTTTCCCAGAGACAAGTTGTAAATTCAGTTTTGAACGGATGTCTACCTGTTTGCACTGCAGCTTCTCTTTCAATTCATTAAAATTCTGCACATAATAATTGAATTTTTTGGAGTGATCTTCAATGACCAAACAGTCCCTAGTGTAGTTATCCCCTCTATCATATATTTCCTTCAATTCCTGTGTTCTTCCCTCTAGAATCACTGCTCGGCAACTCCAAGAAAGACACCCCCGACTGTTCACTTCATCAACAACATCCTGTCTTCCAATAAATTCTTCTACTTCTTTAAGCCAATCTTCCACTTCCGTCCTTACAACATTGTAAGGTGCATATTGAAGCTGAGTCTCCCGTTTTGATTCGATATCATCTCTTCGACTGCGCAAGACTTGTTTGCTTTCCGCGAACTCTTGCAAAAGATCAGTATATTTTATCTGGTATTTCACATATCTCACAAATCGACCACCAACAAGCTTAACAACTTCGATGCTTGGCCCTACCCAATCCATAGATAGCTGAGTCACTGCAACACATTATTTACATAAAAACGCCGTGAGAAAAATTGGTTTTTATGTGCATATAGGCATATGTACTATGCATTTAAAACTTAAAAGACTTCAGGAAATGTATCGATGCTTCATAAAGAGCCATCATTTCCAACAAATACAAAATAAAATTTATTATATTTCTTGGGAAAGACCAGGTAAATGAGAAAAAGGATAATTAATGCAGTAGCTAATGCCAACTACAAAAAGATATTATGGGTAGAAACAGAGAATGAGACAAATGAATTGTAAAATGGGTTTTTCATCCCTCTGCTTTAAAACACATTTTAAAATATATTTTTATTATAAATATATATATAAATATAAAAATTAATATTAATTTTAATATTAATATAAAATAAATAAATTTAATTAATCAATTAAAAATTAATTTTTATTTATTAATATAAATTTATAATAAAAAACATATATTTATTATACTCTTAATTTATATCTTAACAACATAAATTAAAAGAATCTATAAATAATTGAAACAAGAAAATTTCCTTTTGTAAATTGCTACCGCTTTTTTAAGAAGACTCAAGATGGCAAAAGAAATAATGTGCCACGCGTTTTGCTTTGGAATTTTGATAGAAATTTTTGGCCGATTGGGAAGAACGTCACATTTGTTCAAAATATCTCTTTTTTATGCCAGGTTTTTACTCTTAATACTTTTTCCGCTTACATACACTTCATCATTCATTAATTTTTCTTGAGTGTTATTCTCTTAGTTTATTTTCTCATATTTTATTATTATATTTATTTATTATACATTTATTTTTATTTTTTTATATTTATTAATAATTTATTTGTTATTAAATTTTCATTCAGTTTCCTTATACTTATTCTCTCAATATTATTTTTTTTAATTACTCATCCATCTCCATTAATTTATTATGAGATTCATGTCTTACAAGTTGAATTGTACATTAAAAAAGTGTAGTTCATCTTATAAATTTACTTAAATATCCGTAATAAAATAATATAAGAAATAGTTTTATTAAAGTTATTAAAGTGAATTCATAGGCAAACTACACTTTTAATGTGTAATCCACCTTGTAATACATTTTTTTATTTATTATTATATATAAATTGTACCCTACTCTCTCTCCCTCCCATGTTGTGTGTATAATAAAATTCTTTAACTATTTATTTTGATGAATATATTGAGATCCTTTAAAGATTCTCACTTCTTACTTTACTATTTTTATAATTTTTTGATGATTTAATTTAGACTTTTGATAAAAAGAATATCTCAACTTTTTAGGTTCTTTATAGAGGCTCTTTCTTTACTTTTAAGTTCCTTGTAAATGCTCTTGCCTCTTGCTTACACCGAGGATGTTCATTTAAAATCCATTTTGTACTTTTTAAAGAGAATCATGTTTGGAGATTTCTCTCGTCTAATAGTTTATGTTTTATGGTTTAATATAGTTTGGATAACACAATAACTTTTTAGTTTTCAAAATTTTCTTTTAAGTTGATATAGTTATTATCAAATTGATACACATCAGTATATGTACTATAATTTGTAGCCATCCATAATCATTATTTAAAAATATGTTTATTTAAAATTATTTACATCTCAATCAATACCCCCTTAGTCTTTGAATAATAGAGTAAATAAGAATCAATTTGTGAAGTGTCACTTTAAATATAATATAATATGTATCTATATTAAACACATTACATAATTAAAATAGAAGTCAAATTATATATTTGAGTAAGTTTTTTCAACATTAATAATATGTAAATATAGAAGACAAATTATTATTTGGTAATTGAAATAGAATTTAGGAATAATTAGTTAGACGTTTTATATAATTAAAGTATTATTAAGTACTGTTATATGAAGCATTAATTTAATAAGAATTATATATATCATGCTCACCAAGGAATTTAAAAATATATGTATTTAATTTAATCAAGCTTTACCTTTACCTTCCTCAATGAATTTCCTTTAAGAAGTTCACTAGATATTTAGTTGAGAGTTTAGAGAGATTTTAAAAGATTTAGTGGGTATTTATTCAAGATTTATAGAACATTTTAACAATTTTTATTATAATGCCACGTAAATTTATAAGTTTACAATCTTATATAGTATTAAATGAGTGTGATGTATCATTAAATGAATAAATACATACAATATTACGAGTAAACTCTTAAATAAAAAAAAAGGTTAATTATATAAATATACACCATGCTATAAACTCACAATATTATGTGATATTATAACTAATAGCATTTTCATTTTTATAATATAGTAAAATTATATAAAATATTACTTAAAATTAATTTGATTATAAGAACTTAATATTTTAACGATGTGTAAAAAAATACCATAAAAACACAACCCAAATTACTGATTTTAAGTAGGATTAAGGAGAATGACAATCCATGATTTCATGTGATAATAGGAGAATTTTTATGATTATTAAGTAGATTCTCTTCGTCTTTTTTGTTTTTTAATCTACATTTTTTCATTTGGTTAATTATTTTTTGAAATGTTTTTTTTTTTCTTTTGTTCGGACTTTAATCGATCAATTTAAGGTATTTTTGTGTTCCCCCTCTCATTTCTTTGTTGCAGTTACTTTACCTTTTGTTCTTTGTTCCTTTTCTCGTTTCTAAGTCAATTTATATGAGTTTAATTTTACTCTAAAGAGATTTGTTTCTTACTTAATAGAGATTCGTATGCAGACAAAGGCATTTTATAATGTTTTAAAATATCCCATCTTACTTCTAAGATAGACATGATACGTTGTGGTGGATGCAAGCTCCATGGTTCCACCGGTCTATTGTCTAGAATATCCAACAACTTTAATGCCTCACCTAGTTAACTAAATTAATGTTACTTGTTAAAATAAACTTAGTTAAAGCAAGCTCAACAATAGAGAAGATACAACTATATTTCTACAAATTCATTTAGTATTTTATAGTTTCAATTCTGTTGCTTTATAAGTAATGTGATACGATTCTATTTTAAATAATTAAATACATCATGTTGATAAAAATATATAATTTATAAACACTAAAATAATGATAAAGTAGAAAATTTGCTTTTGAGATTTTAAAGATTGTTCTCTCCTAATTGGAATAGTTCTATAGTTTAAGTAAATTTAACAGTAGTCATAATGATTTGACTTGAGTTTTTTTGTTTTTATTTTATCAGATGATCAACTATGCAAATATGGAATAAACCCTTCTCCCCTTTAAATGATGGGCTATACATCAGATGAAAAAACTTCCTAAACAGAGAGATCATACCCCCAGACCCAAAAATAAAAAGAGAGAGGTACAAGGTAATGAACCATCATCAACTGAAAAGCATAAGCATACCTGCACCGGGAAACTATATAACACCCCTGAGAGTGATCAAGGCTGGAGTTAAGAAGGGTGAATGAGCATTCCCATTTTGACAATTTCAGTGCCAGTTGTCTCTAATATGTCACCAACAGTTTTGTTTGACTAAAACATATCAAACAGCAGCATTTTAGCCGAGTCGATGTTTTTTCCTATTAATGGTACAACGGAAAAAAACAAAAAAGATAAGTAGAGAGGGTATCGAAAATTGTAAGCCAATGCTCGGAAGAGAACAAATATTTGTAAAACCTTCATTCAATTGCAGTGTATACTGTTCTGCAATGGTATAAGAGGAATGATGACAACAAAATATTTTCCTTCTAATGAACAAATAATCCAATCTCTAAACCTCTTTCTTTCAATTACAACAGGTGCCAAGACAGCACAAGTTAGAGAAGAAATGAAAATCAGTCCTAAGCTTCCCGTGCAGTCTAAAAGAATGATTCACAACAACATATCTTCTTCCTCAAATGACATTTGAAAGATGAACCTACATGAGTTTGTAGTAACATTTGCCTCTAGAGAGAAGAATTTGATAGCCTTTGCTGCAGGGACACTTGAAATGAACCGCCAAACATTCCCCTGTTTTCTCCACCCACACAGCATCTTCAATTTCTTCTCCTTCTTTCTCATCCTGCAAAACATTTACATTTTCCTAGTTATTACTTTCTTGGTAACCAAACAAATAGCAGCAAGGATAATGAATAATATCTCTCAAACAAGATTAAACCTTTGCTGGATCGTTGGTGATTCTCTGTTCCTCACTTTCTCGCATTTCATCCAACCATCCATTCATCTCCTTGAGACAATCCTTCATCCTCTGCCACCTCTGCCATTGATCAACAATTTCAAGAAACCTTGATTAAAACAGGAAATGCTAAAGAAAAGATTGCAAATTTGCAGTAAGCAAAAGAAAACCATTATTTTTCAAATCCCTAATCACACAAACAGCAAGAATTGAAATCAACACAATAGATACATACCCAAGAATGGTGTAAGAAATGTTTAAAACCCTAACAGATACAGACCTGGATATGGGGACTCTCCTCCTTGGTGATTTCTTTTGAGCTGGAAGAGTTGGAGAAGGACTTATCCAGTGAGGGAGTAGGGTCCCCAATCAACCGCCTCGGCTCTAGTGCAGCTCCCCTTAATCAATTTTATTAATGTCAATGTTGGGGATGTCTCTCCAATCAAGACAGAGATTAGATCCACAATGAGTCACTTTAGTACACCTTTACTGATTAACTGAATCAATGCATGCATCCTTCCTCATACGACGTGTCACCGGCACAGATAAATTAATTTGGATCACTCTCTCTAAAACAAAATAGTGAATTGGATTAGAGAATCCATCAATCTTAGGTAAGAAACTGTGGCGCTGAGTGTTCCTTCCTAGTTCTATGACTCACATCTGGTTCAGAGTTTTAAAGGTGTGGCAGAATGAATCAAAGTCTGGCTTCTATCTGATTCCCAAAGTTAGAACTTTTCACATTGAATCGGTAACTGAAAAGCCATTCTGTGATACAGTAAGCATAATTCAAGAGTACTGAAATGCATAAAATGCTTGGGAATTGTTGCCCATATTATGCAATAGTTAAAACTAATATGAAGCAAATAATTAGTTGAATAGTATACCTCATTTGCCACTTTTTCTGGTTAAGGGACTATTTAAAC